GGGCGGGCGGCGGGGCGGCTGCTCCCGCTGACAGATTCATTCCCGGGGTGGACGGCGGGCGCCAGGGCCCGAGGGATGCTCGCAGCTCCCAGAGGCTCCCACACTTGGAAAGCCCATCCGGCCCAATCCCCTAGACTGCTGAGCCCCACCCCGTTGTTTCTGATTTGGCAGGTCTGGGTGGGCCTCAGAAAGTGCATTTCTAACAAGATCCCAGGTGCTGCAGCTGCTCTGGGAACTCCACTTGGAAAGCCGGTGACCGGTCCTCCCAAAGTCTCTCCTCACTGGCCATGGTTTCACTTTTGGCTTCAATGTGTGTTAGCAGTAAAAGGCTTCATCCAGGAGCAGAAGGGAGTTCTGGATCTTACCTCGATCTCAGGTTTAGTTGAGCTCAGAGAACATTCCATATAGGTGGGGTGAAGCATAAAAAGGGAACTTTAATGTTACAGTGTGCACCTTCTATCATCATGTATTATTCTTTTTATTGTTGCCATTAATCAACTCTTTATTTAGTAGCCCAGGTGTTACTTTGTCTCACACACACCCTCCCAAGTCCATGTGTAGGTCTCGCCATGAAAGGAATAATCACAATATAAAGTTGGTTTGGAGCAAGTGGGGTACATTCAGGCTGAGACAACAATGAGGCCAGGTAATGCTTAGTGACAGGGTCGGCCGCAGAACTAAAGGCGTTCCTTGTGTGCAAGTCTTGCTGGTCCTCAAGGTGTGTGGACCTGCCAGGAAACCACCCAAATGTGGTCACTGAAGCATCTGCTCTTTCAGTTCAAACCAACATACCGCCCACTGTGTTCACATCACCTGCCTCACGGTGTGTGTTTTTAAATCTGTTTAGAAATCAGTGCTATTCCTCACTAAAAATCAAGTCTGCACTGAAGGACACCACTGCTGGCGGGGGCCCCGCTGATTTCTTGCAGGAGTTGACTTGCTTTGAAATGATCTTGGATTCAGGTTTGACTTGGGAAAGTCCATTTCAAGGCCCGGGTGTATTTGCCAACCTCATCCAGGCCACAGAACTATGGGGGGCTGTGACATGACTCACATCTCTGGGTCAGGACAAGGAAGGACGAGGCCAAGGTGGATGCTCTGGTCTTCCATTTCCAGGCCTCCCCCGCTTTCCTGCTCAGCAACAGCTCTCTTGCAGGGGCTGGGGGGAGGCCTGTACATTCCCACCGCTGTTCTCTCCTTCCAAGAAATCAAGCAGCCCTTGGGAGACACCAAGACCCAGTTCTTCTATATCTACCTGGACTCTGAGCCCAAAAGACAGATGGCTCTGAAACCCCCACACATCCTGAGTTTTGGGCAGTGAGTGACCAAAACTCAACTTTCCTAGAAAGAAATATTTTTTTTGCCTAAGCAGCATCTTTTGATTGGCACGTGGTATTTCAGTATGTTCCTCCTCCAACCCTCTGATTAGATCCAAGCCCTGCACTTGCTCAGAGACATGCTCCTGGTCTGAACTCCCCCAGAGGAGCTTGGAGACCAGGCAAGCTGAGCTCAGTCTAGAGGGCTGCAAGGTTTGTCTGTGTGGGTCAGCCTTACAGGACTTAATTTAGGTGGCCTCATCCTTTTATTCAACTGGGCGGGGGATGCCCTTTACCAGCTCCTCCTTTTGGGGCTCTTCCTCTGCTTGCAGTCTCAGCTCTTTGCTCTTCAGCAAAGACAGTAGCCAGGCAGTTACCTGCTATAGCTGCAAAGATGGATTCATTCAAGAGCTGCATAGCATGCCACAGAGATGCTCAGCTTCTCACCCCTAAGGTGTGCAAGGGTTGGGGCCCACATAGGGCTGGGGGCTGCAGAAGACTCAGGTTTGTCCCTGAATGCACAGCTCAGTCAGTCCCTTTGCTGTCCAGTGCAAGGCTGGCCACCTCGCCTGAAGTGTTCTGCATATTCTAAGAATTGAATTTGGGGTCAAGTTTTTCCCAGGAGCAACATCTTAATAATCTTAGAATCTGAGTGAGGGGTTCATGCAGATTCATTAAATGATTCTCTCCACTTTTGTATATGATTGAGATTTTTATAATTAAACATTTTAGAAAGTCATCTTGGGCCCAGTGGCAGTATGTGTCCCACTCTGGAAAAACTGGAGTGGTCAAACAAGAGCACATAGGGCCAATGGGATACTTCGGCAAGTCCTGAGAGTTGAGAAGGTTAGGCAGTTGCTCAGCATACTGCTCAGAACTCATGGAACAAACGGTGCAGGGCCAACGTGAGTCCTGTCCAGATGAAGCTTCAGACCTAAGCAGTTTTGCCTTTGTGACGAAAGTATTCTTTGTACTCTTATAAGACCATATCAAGTAGGTTAAATATACTGTTTGATTTAGAGATGTTTTCAATTTAATTCTTGTATTAAGCTCAACCCAAGTGTTCTAGGATTTGAAAGAAGTCTTAAAATAAACTATAAGTAAGGAATTATTGCAGTTTAAATATTTATTGACTGTATCTACTTATTCCAGTATCATCCACAGTCACAAAGAAGCAACCTGAGCTGCTGGTAAGAAGCTACCCCTGGATTTTTTTTAATAAGGAAGTAAACTTACATTGTTTAATTGATAATAAACCCATTGTTAAAGCCACTTTTCATTGATATAACATATGGAAATTTATGTCTGTAATAGTCAGGCCTCTTTTGGTTGCAGGTGACAGAAACCCAGCTAGAACCAGTTGAAATAAAAAAGATGGTTGATTGGAAGGATGTTGGGGTGGGGATGGGGGTGACTCAGAATGGATGGAGTGAGGGCTGCTCCGGGGAACTCAGGAGTCTAGGGCCAAAGATTTGATGTCCCCAACATGCTCTCTTTGCATCTCCCTAGGTAACAGCTTCATTTTCTCAGGCCTTTCCATGTGATGAAGAACATTGTAGTAGGCCGTCCTGGAGTCTCATTTTACAATGACCTGACTAACTTCAACAGAAAAACCCCAGGAGTCTCTCATTGGATCAGCTTGGATCACATGCCTATCCTGGACCAATCACTGCCCAGAGGGATGCGGCAAAATTGGTCCAGATTGGGGTGTGATGCCTATTCCTGTGGTCAGGGGTGGGGGTGTGCAGTGCATTACCAGAGGGGAAAGGATGCTGGGCAAACAAAGAGAATAGCCACCACAGTGACCAAACTCCTGCCAGTCAGATAAATGAACTTGTAACAGAGAACAAAGCAGGAATGATTCTTATTATAGCTAAGAGCCTAGGGTTCAAAGGCTCAAGGTCTTGGGTTCAGTTCTGGTTCTAGGGGTCCGCACACTCCCTAGCTGTGTGAACTTGGAAGAGTTTCTTAACCTGTGTTATTCATCTTGTCAAAGACAAAATCTGGCCAGGCAAGGAGGCTGATTTTATTCAGGCCATTGCAATAGGGAGAGCACCCCAGGTTAGACATTAGAGTGTCTCCACAAGGCAGTTTGACCTTGGATTTGTATGGGGTGAGGGTAGACAGTTACAGGTAGGATGATTTACAGTTGGGATAATCTTGCAACCAGGGGAAATCTCAGTCAATTACCTGAACAGGAAATGTTTATCTCTGTGTCTAACTAGTGTCAGGGAGGCACAAACAGTTCTTAGCTCATCAACCATGAGACAAAGTACAGAAAGTTTAAAGGTCTGTGTCTAGCCTTGTCAGCAGGTTGAGGCAAATGGAGGCAGGTCTATATGTGACCTTGTCACTGGTAAACAAGGGCATCATCCATGAATCTTACAGGAGTCATGAAAGAGTGGTCAGTGAGCCTTATTTAAGTCACAAGAGGATGGGTAGCTCTTTTTGGTAAGCTACTCCCCACTACACAAAAGGGTGGGGGGTTTCTCAACCATCACTGTTTTCCAGGAGCACAGGGTTCAGGTAAAGTACAACATTGTTAATCTGTAAAACCCTGAAAATATTGTCTATCTCATAGATGTGGTGTGAGGATTAAATAATCTATGTAATTCACTTAGCACAATGCTAAGTGGGCACCGATAGGTTTGTTGGTCTCCACCTTCCTGGAAGCATGAAGATGGAAACATGGAGATTTGGGACTCAGTGCCTGGAGGGGAGGGATTTCCTCCATCTCTAGCCATCTTCTCAGCCTCCAGCCCAGAGTTGGGTGACTCGCAGGTGCTCATTCAGTGCTGATGAACTTCAGTTCAGAGACACCACGTGCAAGGAGAGGGAGGATCTGTACTTCTGTTTTGTTTTTAAAAACCTACATTTCATGTGGGAAAAAGTTTCTCTAAAATCCCTGGAAAGGGGTGAAACCCTGGTGCCTGGAGGTTTAAGGCAGGTGACATTGGGTGACATTCTCGGTTCTAAGGTGGCCCTGGGTCGCTCCTATAAAATGAGAATAACGCGCCTCCCCCTCCTCCCCGCCCCTGACCGCAGCCCCAACACACTTTGCTGTAATCTCTTGCCGGTTTTGTTTTCCCTGTGGTACAATGAGCTCCTAGAGTTTACGGGTTGAGCCTGCTCGGGCTCATCCCAAGAGCCAGGCACAACTACAGGAGCAATACTTGCGGAAATGAACGACTGGGAAGTCGTGGGGTAAAGCACGGAAGACGTGACCACGAAATGGGAGACCCTGAAACACTAGCCCCTACTTCATTTCCGCCGCCTGGAAGCTTCGGGGCGGAGCTCCCTAGGCTCCGCCTTTCGACCCAGGATGCTCCGCTCCGGTCGCGTCCTGTGATTGGCTGCGCTTCTCCACGTGATGCCAGGCTGGCGGCGGCGGTTGCCGGGGCGACGGCTGGAGAAGTGGCGACCGGGCTGGGTAGGCGCGTGTGCCCGCGGCTAAGCAGAAGGTAAGCGCGTCCCCGGACGCGGCCGGGCCATCCCTGAGCCCGCGGTCTCCAAACGGGGATGAGCAGTGATGGGTCAGTGACGGCGAGGAGCAGAGGGTTGAGATTCTGCTGAGCCCGCTCCCCAGAGGACTATCCCGACGCGCCAACTCGGCAGCCTCTGCCGGATGCCCCCATTTCTCGCCTGCTGCCCTGAGCTCTTCCTGTGGCGTGCGCCCGGGGCGGCAGCCTGGACATCCCAGGGACAGGCCCAGCTGCTTTCCACAAGTAGTCCCTGATCTTTGCTGCAATGAGCCAAACTTGGAGGGGGGCCCAAATCGTCCAGCTGTGGCGTCTGAGAGGGTGACCTGGGGCTTTTATATCCATCCCTTATGTTCCGTTATCCACATCAGCTAACCCCTCTCCCCAGGCACCCAGGTTAAGTCCAGACTTGATCCAATCTAAGCAAAGGCGGGACGCTTACTATACAAATTCGTCTCCCCGAAAGATCCCATAGTCTAACCCTTAATTCAGCCAGCTTGTAGGCCCTAAATCCCTGTCATATAGAAATCCAGAAGCTGCCAATGCAACCCTCAAGAGTGACTGAAGAAGTTTTCTCTGGTTTTTGCATAGAGCCGTGGTTCTCAACTGCATAAAAGTCATCCGGAGGGATTGTTCAAAACAATTTTTGGGCATTGTGCTTGCCATTGTGTTCAGTAAGATCAGAGTGGTGCTAGGAATTTTCATTTGCACAAGCATCCCAGGTGATTCTCATTCAGGTGGTCCACACTTTGAGGTAATACTGTGTAGTGGTTAATATCAATCTGGATTTAAATTTCTACTTTGTTACTTACTAGTTGAGTTATTGGGAGCATCTCAACCTTCCTGAGCCTCAGTTGCCTCATCTGTGAGAGGAGAATATAAATCATATTCATCTTTCAGATTTATTGTGAAAATTAAATGTGAAGCATTTTGCATGTTGCCTAGCATACAATAAGTCCTCAATAAATGAACTTATAATGATATAAAGATTTACAGAAAATTCTGTATTTCCAAGAATGTCAGAGTAATAGAATACCCAATGATGGCTCATGTTCACTGACAGATGATAGTAGCAGAATCTTATTCAAATGATGGTCATGAAGAACTTCTCTGAGGAAGTGATGCTTATGAAGCACAGAGGTTAGCCAGGTGAAGAAAGAGGGGAAAAGCGTTGTAGGCAGAGAGAACAATATGTGCAAAGGCCCTGAGGTTGGAAGGATCTTGAATTCTCAAAACAGCAAAGCTGTCTTGTTCCAGGGCCTTCAAAAATGCCGTTCTCTCTGCTTGGGCTTCATTTATTTGTCAGATGTCATGGGTGTTTACCATGCCTGCCAGGCACTCTGCTAGGTTCTGGAGATAGAAAATTTAAATATAGCTCCCTGCCTTTATAAAGAGGGTAAAAAGTACAACTATAGAAGTAAATGTAGATTACAGAGGTACCCCAGAGGGGAGAGAATTGCCATGATGGGGAAAGAAGGAGAGGGGTTCCTGGAAGAATTCCTGAAGGAGGTCAAGCTCTAAGTATGATGAGTCAAATTTGTCCACAAGTTGAAGAAGAGTACATCAGAGGGCTTAGAATCGTGAAAGAGCATTTTGTAAGGGGGAATGGCTGGGCGTTCACTATTCTTGGAGCTTAAGAAGTGGGGAAGTGTTAGAAGGGAGCCAGCCAGGAATGAGAGTGGTGGTTGGTCCAGAGGAAGGCTGGAGAGGTGGATGGCCCCAGGCGGTAGCAGTCTTTCTCTTCACACCTTGTATCTGGCAGGCCTGGAAGTGCAGGCGGGGTTGGTGTCCTCGCTGCTCCTCACTGCTGCTTCCAGATCACTGCCCCCTTCCTTTGAAGTACACGCTGTGGGCTTTCCCACGGTTTTTTCCCTTGAAGACTACGGTGTCTACCTCTACACCTCCTCTGCTTCATTTTGAGAGGTTTCAACATCCTGGCCACACAGGTTTCTTCATCCTCCTTTACTCATAGGCACCTTTTTCCTCCATCCTCCTCATCCACCCACTTCTGCGGTCATGAACTTTTTATTACTGCACTACTTTTGAAATCTTGATTTCAAGTATTTATCCCACTTACACCACCACCTTTTATCTTTCAAGCTCACTGTAGTGTGCCTCTGAGGCAGGTCTGTGACCCCGTTACTTTTTCACTGCCTGGTAACCCCCTTATGCACCCTTCCTCCTGCCATTCTTCATGAAGCTTGGCTTCAACGCTCCATCACTGTTACACTTGTTTTCTCTTTCACCTCTCCTGGAAAAGCCTCACCCTGGTTAACCTAACTCAGACAGCTGAAAGTGGCTGGAGAAAACTGCAAAATGGTGCAGACTGGTTCTGTTTGGGATTAGAGTCCACATGTTAAGCAGACTGTCAGTACTGGAAACCCTGCCATGTATGCATAGTTGATTTGGTTCCCACTTTCCGTTCTCATCACAATACCAACATGCCTCTTACTCTCAGCTGATGACCCTGTTTCTTGTTTCACCTCTCATCACCAAACCTGTCCATTTCTTTGGTCAGTACCCATATCCTCTGCCATCCCTCTGTCCCTGCCCCTGTCTAAGGCCTGGGCTTCACTGGACACTGGCTGCATCAAGGACATTGCTTCTTTAACCGTTTCCTCTCTCTTCTGCCTCATCCATTTTTCCTCCTCTAACTGGGTCATTCCTATCAACTTACAAGCACGCTGCTGAAATGTCTTCCTTTTTATTTTTTATTTTTATTTTTTATTGAAGTATAGTTGATTTACAATATTGTGTTGATTTCAGGTGTCCAGTAAAGTGATTCAGTTATATATATAGTTTTTTTCAGATTCTTTTCCATTATAGGTTATTATAAGACATTGAGTATAGTTCCCTATGCCATACAGTAAATCCTCATTGTTTATCTATTTTATATATAGTCGTGTGTATCTGTTAATCCCATACTGCTAATTTATTCCTCCATCCCCCCCTTTCCCTTTGGTAACCATAAGTTTGTTTTCAATGTCTGTGAGTCTGTTTCAGTTTTGTAAATAAATACATTTATATTAGTTTTATATTCCATGTATGTGATATCATATAATGTTTGTGTTTCTGACTCACTTCACTTACTATGATAGTCTCTAGGTCCATCCATGTTGGCGCAAATTTCATTCTTTTTATGGCTGAGTAATATTCCACTACATATATAGTTATATAATATTCCATTATATATAAATATATATATATACATATATATATATCACATCTTTACCCATTCACCTGTTGACAGACACTTAGTTTGCTTCCGTGTCTTGGCTATAGTAAATAATGCTGCTGTGAACATTTGGGTGCATGTATCTTCAAATTAGAGCTTTCTCTGAATATACACCCAGGAGTAGGATTGCTGGATCATATGGTAGCTGTTGGTGGGAATGTAAATTGGTGCAGCGACTATGGAAAACAGTATGGAGCTTCCTTAAAAGTCTTAAAAACCTCCCATCTCTTTCCAGACACCACACCATCTCTCCTCTCCTTTTTGACTCTCCTTTACTTCTCTTTCTCTCTTTTTAACCCGTTTCAGTCAGGTTCATGTCCTTACCACTCTTATCAAGGTCACTGTCACACTCCATGTTCCCAAATCCAGGGATTAATTCTTCTGCCTTCATCTTCCTTGACCACGCAGACACAGTAGACACGGGAAGCACCTTCCCTGGGCTTCCAGGATGTCACAGTGTCCTGGTTGTGTCTCGCTGATAGGTCTCTGATCTTGCTTGGTCTCCCATCTGCTGCTGCCCTCTCCGTACCCCTCAGTGCTGAGTGCCCCAGGGCTCAGCCTGGGCCTGCCCTCCTCTCCTGGCTACACTTCCTCCTGAGGAGGCCACATCTGTTTAGGATACTCATCTTCTGAAATGTGCTCTTCATGCTGATAACTTCCAAATGCTTCTCTCCAGCTCCCACTTCTTCCTTTACTCCACCAGCCTCTTCAGCACCCCAACTTGAATGTCTAAGATACATCATAGATTTATGGCCAAAACAGAACTCTTAATTTAACTCTCAGACTGTCCCTCCCTAATTTTCCCCAGTTCAGCCAGTGGCACACTGTTCCCCCAACTGCTCAGGCCCCAGGTGTCCCCCTTCACCTTGTCCCCTCACATTCCATAGCCTGTTCCTCAGCAGTTGACCACCTCTGCCTTTTACACCTGGAGTCAGAACACTTCACAAGATTCCTTTTGCTGGTTCCAACTTCCCTCATCACTGCTGGTGCCCCTGTTTCCGTCCATGGTCCCTGCAGCCTCTTCTCGGTACACACACAGGCAGACACAGTACTCAATACACGCCGTAAGTCAGGGTGGGTCGGTCCCCTCCTCAGCGCTCTCTCCTGCCTTCCTAGCCCCTTAGCTACACAGACCTACTGACTTGGCACTGGCACCTCACTCACCGCCTGCTCTCCTCCTGGAGCTGCACCCGCAGCCCCCATGAGTGCTCAGCGCTCACGCGTCCCTCCTCCCCAGATCTGGGAAGTGCTCGCTTTCTCACATCTCTGTTCAAATGTCCCATTCCCAGGGAGGCCTTCTATGAAGACCTGATCTAAAATGACCCAAGAACCCTCTCCTCCACTCTCTGTCTCCTTCTTTGCTTTGTTTTCTCCATATCTGAAATTATTTCCATTTGTTCAGTAAGTATATTTGAACACCTATGGTGTGCCAGGCTCTAGGATGCCAAGTGAACACGTGTCTTCCTCGTAGAATCCATCTCCTGGGTGTGGATAATATGTGTGCAAATGCACACCACCTCCTCTCCCAATACCATAGGCTGAATGATTGTGGTCTTTGCGAGACATTAAAGATTTCTTTTAAGTAAGCAGTATCTGATCTCTTTTGTGAATATTTAATGTTTTTTACTTGGAAGCAGAGTGAGGCATTGGTGACTCTGTGTTCATTTACATCACATTAATTCTAGTGCAGATCCTTTCTTAAAGTAAATGGATTGACCTTATCATTAAACTCTATTTTGTTCTAAATACACTGTGGTCTTGACTATTTGAATTACACCTACTACATGTTTGCATATTAGAAAACTCTGGAAAAGAAAAATAATCTTCCACATTCTCACCAGCAATCCTTGACATTTACACCATCCTCCAGTCCTTGTCCATATTCATTTTAAGCAATTGTCGTAGAAGAGAGAATTCCTTTTGACTTAAGCCACTGTGTTTCCTACTGCTGTTGTAATATACTACCATGAACTTAGTGGCTTAAAAACAGCACAGATTTCTTACCTTACAGTTCTGGAGGTCAGAAGTCTGAATGGGGTCGCACTGGACTAAAGTCAGGGTGTTGGTAGGGCTTGTTTCTCTCTGGATGCTCCAAAGGAGAATCCATTTATTGCCTTTTCCAGCTTCTAGAAGCTGCCTGCATCCCTTGGTTGCTGGCTCTTCCTCTCTCTTTAAGGTCAGCAACGCCTGGTCGAGTCTTTCTTCCACTGCATCACACTGACGTTGACTTTCTTACTTCCCCCTTTCCCTGATAAGGATTACACTGGGCCCACCAGATAATCCAGGCTACTGTTCCTACTTTAAAGTCAGCTGATTAGCAACCTTAATTCCACCTGCAGCCTTAATCTCCCCTTGCCATCAACCTAACACATTGACAGGTTCTGGGGATTCAGCCATGGACAGCTTTGGGGGCCATTATTCTGCCCGCCACAGGATCTTTTTGTGATTATACAGATGGTTGAAATGAAAGCCTTTGTCTTATGTTTTTGCCTTGTAGAGATTTTTGCTGTGAGAATTAATAGTAACAGTTCAGTATGGGGGATATTCTGGCTCATGAATCGGAATTACTTGGACTCGTGAAAGAGGTATGTTTTACAAAATACAGGTCACAGAAAAAGGGATCTTGAAAACTTGTAAAGCTTTTATTTTACAACACAACAAATTCTACAGTGCCTTGTAATGTTTCTGTCATTACAGTACATCTATCTTTTTCCATTTTATAATTTTCCATGCATTTATATTTTGTTTTCATAGCTCAACCAAAATCTTAAGCTCCTTTGCAGGACTCCTTCAAAGAAAGTTATAAAAGCTACATATGCTTGTGATAAAAGATTTGAAAAGTGTAGAAATAGAAATAGTGAATTTCCCTGCTCTATACCTGCAGTGACCACTGTTAATGGTTTAGTGTGTTATCTTTTCAGACTTTTTTCTACAAATATTCAAAATATATTCACATGACTGTAGTTTGTTTTACAAAAAGCGATGATACCACACACATTGTTCTATCTGTCAAAAGTAATGTAGTATGAACGTCTTCCTGAGACCTGCCTCGAGGAGTGGCCGCATCACCTGTTTAACTCGTTACCTATTCACGGGCATTTTGGTGTCCTGCGCTGAAGGCTTTCCAAGGGTGGGACCCAAGCCTTATGCTCTGCTGCTGGTATCCTCTACTGCTTTAGCAGGGGGCCGGCACACGGCTGGCGCTAAAGAAATGGTTGCTGCAGTTTTACTGTGTGATTGGACTGTCCGTTAGACACTGAGTCCTGGCACTGTAACCAGAATGAGGCACCCGCCTGGGAATGCACCTTTGGAATTTGGCGTGACCAGGAATAAATTTTCCAAGCTGTCACAGCAGGGGGTTGTGGAGAGAGCCTGGGGAGATAGGCATAATTAGAGGAGGTGGAAACGAAAAGGTGTGACTGACACAACCTGAGAAGGGGGCGGAGAAGTGCGGAGCACTGGATGTCAACAACACAAGGTGGGGCATTTCACAACTGCTGGTGGTCCTTGTGCGGGCTTGAAGTTCACTGATGACCTTGCCCATCTTTAAGCACTTACCTGTTGTTCTCAGGGACAGGCATTATTTCTAATCCCTCTGTTTCAAGTAACAAATTCCCAGAGACCTACTAGACCTAAGCTGGCAGGCCTTCTGCCGATCACTTTTGCCTTTTTCAGACTGCCGCACGTACCGTCTTATTTTCCATGAATATAATGAATCATACAGCCCACATGTTCCTTTTGAAAACAAATATGTTTTCTGTAAATAAATGTTTTTTATGATACTGTCTTTCTAGGCTTTTAGTGTGTATATTGATAAGTAAATTCTAAGCTGGACCCCAAGTTACTTCTCCCAAAGATGAGAGTTCATTAACCCCATTATAAGTTTATGATAACATTTTGAGCTGGTACAGTTACACCAAAGATGGTTACTTTGTTGATGTTAAAACAGAGAAATATATGTATACTTATGCTCTTTTTTAAATAGTATTTGGATTTTGCCGAATTTGAAGATACCTTGAAAACATTTTCAAAAGAATGCAAAATGAAAGGAAAACCATTATCTAAGTCAGCATGTGGCTCCTTAAGGGACTCCAAATCATTGATAATCCAGGTAATATTTTACTTTTTTTGATTTCTGTAGATAATCAAGATGTTCCCAACTTGTAAAAAAATGCTACTGTAAGAGAATGGTGGAATCGTTTCAGGGGACCTGGGCAGAGTGACGGTTAGACTGTGCAGATGTTTATGGATAAATTAGTAATGTCAGCTTCAAATCTCTGTACCCTGCCTAGGAAATGGGTGGAACATAAGATCTTTCACATACATTTCTTGGGAAGAAGAAAAAGAGGAAACCACGCAATGCTTAGAAACTGAGACAAATGTGGTTCCCAACCTGGGAAGTTTTAGGTTAGTCATGCTAGGTCCTGGGGACACAGTGGTGAACAAAACCAAACCAGCCTCTGCCCTCATGGTGCTTGCATTCTAATTTGGGGTGGTTGGAGGGGCCAGGGAGCAAGAGTTGTATGCAAGGCAGCATCCTGTCAAAGGAAGGCCTGAGCAGCTGTGAGCCCCTTGCAGTGAGCTGCAGAGGGCAGATATTATACAGTCCTCAATTCTCAGGGTTAGAAAGGACCTTAAAAGTCCTTATTCCAACCATTGGTTCACCTTGAACATGTCCAGTGACAGGAGAGCATCCCATTTCCCAAAACACCATACTTCAGCTTTGCATTTTATTATTTTAATAAATTTATTTGTTTCAATGTACATACTTCCAGGAAAAATATGAGACTTGATTTGAGAGTTCCACTGAGTGGCTGTAGGTCAGGTCATAGCCACCGCCTGTCTGCTCCTGACCCCTGACTCCCCAGGGGCCTGGCACAGGGTACCGCTGAGCAGGGGCACCGTCGAAGTGGCCTGTGGAGCTCAAGTGGGGCTGTGTGCTCTGCCCAGCGTCCCTCCAGCCCTCAGGCACTCAGATGCTGAGCTGCCGCCACTTCAGATACAGACTCCCCTGTCGAAGGGCAGCCTGATGGTTCCTCCCAACCCCAAAGCAAACTTTCCAGAACATGAAACAAGAATATAATCATTATTAGACATGGAAACAGAGGCTGTTCTTAACTGGAGAGACCCTGAAACTTTATGATTGTCATAAGCAGGTCTTTTCTGCTCATTCGGTAAACAGCTATGCTCCATCATTATATATTTCCCAAACGAAAATACCTGGAGCAGGGGCTTAGCAACATTTGCTAAGTGTCAGTGACACTCAGCAAAGGAAGAGTTTCACTAAGCACAGTTCTGTAAGAATGTGTGAATGTGTGTGTGTGTGTGTCTGTGTGTGTTTATAGGTGATTATTAGTGGTGTGTAAATTTTTTGATCTTGGTCATTCTGGCTGTGATCATGGTTTACATTCAAGTAGTTAATATTTTGTGACCCTATGAGTTGTAACACCGGATTGCTTTATGTGTAGATACTATTTTAAACACAGGGACCATTTCCAGGTACAGAATACAATTCACAGACTGGGCTTATGATGACACAGCAAAGATTTGTGACCCTAGGTCTACAGATGTAGAGTTTAGAATAAACAAATAAACTGTGGATGGGCCATTTGACACGTAGACTTTGTCAAGCCATGTTAAGAAAATACCTTGACTCCAAGCTGTAAAGTACCCACGAGAGTCTGCGCTCCCCATTCGTGTGGTCACTGCGCCTCTCAGGTTTGCTCGGAGCTCAGAGGTGAGCCTGAGCCGGGGCCAGGCCCCAGCCGCACAGCCCTTGGGAGAGTCCCCTTCACCTTAGCATCAGCCAGTAGCAAGGAAAGAGGATCCTTTGACCAGGCTCCCCAGATTCTCCTGGAGGTCCGTGATGGCTTGTGCTTTGTTTCGGCCCCGTCCTGCCCACAGTTGCTGACCTGCTGTCCTTCCCTGTTTCCACGGCTGAGGAACAGAAAGAGGCCGATTTTAAGGAGGGCTTATTTATTATCACTGTAGGGCTTATTCTGAAAAATTCTGTGTCTCTTTCAAATGTATGGCAGTACCTTCTAGAGTAAGACAGTATTCAGAGACAGTTGTTCCCTGTCATATGACACACAGAACATTTTTTATAATATTCACATTTGAAAGTTCTTTACCAGAAAATGTCTTTGACTTAAGGATAACCAAACACTGTAAGATTGTTCTCTATACACTCTCATTTTATAATGTTAAAAAGCTTGATTAAAAGCAAATAGAATATGTAACTTTAAAAAAAGAAACAATTTTACAGAAAAAGTGTAAAAACTTAAAAAAAAACCATAAAAGAACAATGACCAAATAATGGTGGTAAATAATTGTGATGTTGGTTGGAGGAATTGGTGATTCTACAGAAAATCCAGTCTGAGAAAAGCTTTTGCAATTGAGCAAAAAATGTAGGTCTGAGTATATTGAGCATTTGATACAAAAAGGAGAACCACGTGAGTCACATTGTTTTCAACTATCAGGAAGTTCTTTCAATTCTGCCTTAAACTCTGATCTGCAGATTTATGCGGCAGGTATTTGTGATGGGTCAGTTATCATTCTTCTTGTGAGACAAGTGGCATGATAATTGCCACCTCCTTTCTCCAAAATTCTCTATTTCCACTGCTGCATGGTGGCTCAGGAAGCTGCCTCTGCCCCGCGGAGCCAGACTCGCGTGCTCCGAGGTCGGGCTGGTGCCAGGCCTGTGCTCCCTCCTCCATCTCCAGCCTGTGCCTCTTTGTTTCTGGACCTGGAGGGCCCGGGCAGTCACTGTGTGGGTTCTCTGGGGTCTGTGGTTGCTTCCCACGGCGCCCTCTGCACCAGACGTGCTTCTGGTCACAGTGGGCAGGTGACAGCGCCCACCTCCCTGGCCTGGGACAGACTGCGCTCCGTGTGGATGAGCTCCTGGCCACGCGGGGACTGGGCAGCTGGGCCGTCAGTGGGTCCATAGGTGTGCGGTTTGTTCCGAGATCTGGCTGGGCTCTGGGTCTGGCCTTTTTTCATCCGTTGTGGGTCGAGAGTCAGCAAGTCCAAAGGGTGACTTCAGTGTATTCATGTGCTCAAATCTTTGGCCTATGCCTGGTTCCTTCCATTTCAGAGACCTTGTGTTGCATCTGTTTTTTCAGAATGCTCAGCTCTGATGTTGCAAAGGGCTGGAAAACCAGGATCAGTTTGCAGGATTCTCAGCCTAAGCAGTTTGAAGCCTGCTGGGGCTCTGTTTTCCTCTCTCTTCCCTCTGAAAAGGAGACCCAGTTCTCCTCACCCTGACATGATGGAGTATATGGGGTTTCCAAGGTGCTGGGAGGGTGTGAGAATTTGGGGTGTTGGGAGAAGGGGCATCCCTTATGACTGGGGTTCAGTGTGATGTCTTCTCCCCAGAGGGACCTCCTTGCTGCATTTGACAGTGGAGACCAGAAGATGTTCTTCGATTTGTGGGAGGAGCACGTGCCCAGTTCCATCCGAGATGGTGACTCCCTCGCCCAGAAGTTGGAATTCTATCTTCACATCCATTTTGCCATTTACCTTCTGAAACACTCCGCAGGGAGACCTGTAGGTTCACCATGTGGTGTGGGTTGGTCTAAATGGTGTGTTAGATGAGAACGTTAGCTGTTGTGTTTTGCAAGTGGGAATTAATTTAGTTTTGTGGCCAATTTACCATATTACTTCTAAGGAGTAGGCATCTTATGTTTTGATGAGTGACTTTCTATCTCATTCCCAGCAGTTTATTTTCTAATTTACACAGAAAGTTAACCATTTCTGTAATGAAAGCTGCATTTTCCTGAGTACCTCAAATTTTTGAAAGCTCAGCAAAATAAAGTTTATTTGGCAACTTAAAATATATACATGCATATCTAAAAGAACAAATATTTAGACCACATTTTCAACCATATATTAAAAGATAAATATAAGCTTCACTAGGGGGAAAATAGTATGCTTGTTTGTGAAAGCTCATTTGGGTGATGGGTTGAATTTAGCTTCTGTGAACTTTGTGCATTGTTGTGTGGCTTCTCCACGCACTGACTACTGCCACCAGGGCCAGGGCCTGTGTTAACTTATTAAAATGTCAGGGGGCCATAGGAGGGGTCAGCGTGGAGGGAGCAGCTTTACAGTACATTGTGGGAGCCATTCTTGGAAGGCTGTTCCTTTGGATGGTACTTGTGGGTGCCAGCAAAGGAGATTTTCATTTTCCTTGTATTTATTTTTATTTTCTAATTTTTCCATTTTGCTGTAAGATTGAAAAAAAATCAATAAATGTTTACAGTCCAGTGGCTAGGGAGGTGCTTCAAGATGCAGGTGAAGTGAGATGCAGTGTGATGGCGTGAGTGTGAGGTGGTGAGGGATGTGACTGGTGGGGCCAGGGAGGACCCACTCACTGAGGCCCGAGAGGAAATGGAAACCCTGCTGGGGACCTGGGATTACACGTGGAAGCAGGGAAGGAGGCAAGATCAGTTCTTAGTTAGCTGAGTAAAGGAAAGCAATAATGATATGGAAACTTCTGTTTCAAAATGCTCTTCACCTCTAAAAACTTCTTGTAAGGGAATCATGCATGGGAAGGCAGACAAGTGTTCATAATATCTGAAGTATGAAAACAGTGTACATAGCTAATAATGGGGGCATTGGTTAAATAAATGACAATGGACTCACAAGATGAGGTTTTGTTCTGCCATTAAAAATGATGAGTGGGAAGAATTTTAAGGATATGAGAAAATGGTAATGATAGAACATAAAGGCAGCATTTGAACTCACGATATATCTAGCTCTCTGATACTCCTGACAGTTTCATGAAGGGATGAAAGCAGGGGTGATGTTAGGATGACTGGAGACACTGCGCAGGCTGGGCCGGAGTGGGAGGATGCCAGCAATGTTCTGGAACTGAAGGAGCCGCAGAGAGAGGATGGGGTGAAGGGGTGAACTGGCATCAAACAGGAGATCTCAGACAAGCATCCTCCCTTCCTTGTAGGACAAAGAGGAACTGGATGAAAGGATTTCCTATTTCAAATCCTACCTGGAGACCAAAGGGGCAGCACTGAGCCAGACCACAGAGTTTCTCCCTTTCTATGCACTTCCTTTTGTTCCCAACCCTATGGTGCACCCCTCATTTAAAGAACTCTTCCAGGTAAGTGACAGCCTCTGACTCTTGTATCAGAACCTGGACAGCTTTGCAGTTTCACTTTGTATATGCTGGTAGTTTCTGAATGATGCTCTAAAAAACTCTAAAATTTGCCTATGTTGTATTTTAAAAGAGTGTATAGATAATTTGCTGTAACAGACTTTTCTTGTACCGTAAAATGATTTTTTGGGTGTGCCAAGACTTGTTAACACAGACTGACATAAATACTTTAAAATATGCTAACCTCTAAAATTATTCTGTGTATACTTTTGTAGTATTGAAATGATAGTTTATTCAATTACAGTGAAATGATAATTTATTCAATTACAATGTACTTTATTCAATTATAATTACAAGGAGCCTGAAAAGAAAAACTAGGTTATTTTACACAGTTGCTGGTCATGTATATTTTGACATTTTTTTTTAATCTATAAAAAAATTTTTTTGAGGGGGAGGTAATTAGGTTTGTTTATTTATTTATTTTTAGCGAAGGTACCGGGGATTGAACCCAGGACCTCGTGCGTGCTAAGCATATGCTCTACCACTGAGCTCTGCCCTCCCCCTGGCCATGTATATTTAGATTTGTGTTAAAATTCTCACTTACTTGATGTGTATCTGCCTCCCTGATTGTGTATTATATTATTTCCATCATGCTACTTCTCTCTAGCTCTTTTAATTGTTATACTTCATTTTAGTTGACATTTTACCATAACATTTATTTACAATATTTATCTATTAGAGTAATTTTTGTTGACTTATTAAAATTAATATGTCCCATCCAGAGGCTTATTGAAATGTATTTAGAGACAGACATTTTGATGTAATTAGATACTTTGTCTAAAGATCTCAGTTTTCAGGAATTTGTGTGGCGCTTACTCCCCTGCCATTGAACAACGGGTGCAGTTCTTCCTCCAAACCCAGTCCATTTTAGTTTCTGCTGTGATTCAGCAAAACAGATTTCATCCCTCCTGAATAGTAACTGTTAAACGGAAGGTCAGGGAGCTGACGGATTCCATCAGACCTGCTTGGTATAGAGTAGCAAGCTGAAGACCGTGCTAATTTTTCTGTCAGTCCAAATTTGGTTTTACCGCCTTCTTCTAGAAGGCTGAAAATATCAAATAATTAGGAAGAAGATGAAACTTGAAATGGGGTGTTAGATTTTCTCACAGCCAGGGCGTCTGTGTAGGAGAATTACAACGGGGCGGTGTGGCTGCAGATTGGGTCAAGGTCAGGCGGAGCTGGCAGAGTCGGGGTGAGTCCCGCTCAGCCCGCAGGCCCATGGGCACTCCGGTCTGGGCTCTAAGGCAAAGTTCAGGTTCTTCAGAGGCCAGGAGTTTAGAGGTCATCAGTATTCATGGAGGGTCATTTATTTCATTTTTTTCCTTTTGCTGCTCTCTAAATACATGTTTTTAATGGTCATCACAGATACTATAGTGTGTATACATAATAAAATCTGAAGTTAGTATCTTTACTCTCTTCCTGACCATTGTAAAGACCTTAGAATGCATTAACCTCATTCATCCCCTTCCCAATTTATGTGCTATTATTGTCAAATATTTTGATTATATATTTCAACCCCATGAATTAGAAAGTTTTGTTATTTTATGCACTCTACATATATAGGTTCACTCTTAGATTTGCCAGTATTTCTGCCTCCTATTCCATTTTGCCAGCGTTGAGGGCCTTCCATCTGTGATCATTTTCTCCTCTACCTTAAGTACGTTCCTTTTAAATCTCCTTTAGCTGAGGATCTCTTCTTTTAGTTCTTGTCTGTGTGAAAACATCGGTTGCTTTCTCAGAAACAGTTTGGAGCACTAGGTTTACGATTATTTTCTTTTGGGACGTAAGGTGTTGTTATCTCGTCTCCTACCTCCCATCATTGCTGCTTTGAAGTTGGCCATCAGTCTACTTACTGTTCCTTTGTAGCTGATCTACCTTTTTTCCTCTGGCCTTTAAGATTGTATAATCTCACGATCGTGTGCCTAGGGACATGCAAATATTTTAGGTTGTTTTGTTTTTAAGTCTTGGTTTATGTTGGCCAACCTAGTGGTACTTAGCAGAGGTTGTTTTCTGTCTGGTTGAGCAGAGAGAGCCTTTAGCTGGAGCACAGTGTGTTAGTTTCCCGCAGCTGCCGTAACAAAGGATCACAGACTGGGCGGTTTAAAACAACAAAGGTTTATCGTCTCACAGTGTGGGAGGCCAGAGGTCAGACATCAGGGTGTCTGTAGGGCCCTGCTCCCTACGAAGCCTCTAGGGGAGGAGCCTTCTTTGCCTCTTCCAGCCTCAGGTGTCCCTTGGCTTGTGGCTGCTTAATTCCAGATCTCTGCCCTGTCTTTACATGACCGTCTTCTCTTTGCGTCTGTCTCTAAATATCCTTCTTATAAGGACACGAGTCATATGGGATTAAGAGTTTACTTTAATCCAGCCTCATCTTAACTGATCACAACCACAACACCCCCATTCCTAGTGACCTCAGATTCCAAGGCGATTAGGACTTCGACATATCTTTTTAGGAAACACAGTTCAACCAGTAACAGACACATTATAAATAAACTTATCATGTTGTGTCAGGGAATTACAAAATCTTTTAAAAATGGGAGACTTCTCTGCTTATCTGGCAGTATTTTTCCCAAAAAGTCAAATAATGCCCTGGATAGGCTGATGGGGTGGAGGTGTGGGTGAGGACTGGAGCCGTAGAGAAGTGGGGGCGGATGGGCAGGTATGATGGAGATGGGGCAGGATCTGAGAGGTAAGTGGACATGAACTTTTAGTGCTATAGCTTCCTTTTTAGGGGAACTTCTTGGTTTGGGTGGTAGATATTTTTGTTTGAAGACTATAAGGAGAATTGTCCTGAGAGAGATCATTGCTTGTGACACTCTTTTACTGTTTAAATCATTGTTTTTTCCTTATCAATGAGCATGATTTGAGGTAAATAAACTATTTTTAAGGGCCAGACCAAACTAAAAGTATATCATAATTCTTGACCAGATGGCATATTTGAGGTAGATAACAACTTCTTTCTGTTTTCTTTATCCAGATGAGGTTTATGGAAATAAGTCCCTTTCTTTTGGAGACTTTTAGGAACTCAGTGATAATTGTATGCCTGCCAGTGCCACGTATGACTGAACTGTACTCAGTTATTCTGGTATTCAACCTAATAAGGTTACTTGTCATGCTTGTGTTTAAAACACATGAAATGTTCAAATCACAGGCAGGGTTATTTTTTCCCTGTTTATGAAAGTACTCAATTCTCTCCTCCTCCTGTGGGCTCTTGAATCTTCTATAAATGAATTGGTCAAATGTCCTAAAACCTGTTTTTTTTTTTTTTTTTTTTTTTTATAGCATCACACCTTTGGCAAGACATCTTGCTTCTGATTTCAGTAACTGTGGCAGAGTTCTTTTACCCTAAAGGCCACAACTTGACGATGTTGTTGGCATTTAATGTTCTAATTGTCTTTTTTTCCCTCCTCAGGATTCTTGGATTCCAGAATTAAAGCTGAAGTTGGAAAAGTTTCTGGCTTTAATCTTTAAAGCCAGTAGCACGCCAAAGCTTTTAACATTATATGTATCCTTTTGAAGCAAGTAGGGACCACATATGATGTCGCACGCTGGCTTAGATGGACTCAAATCGGGCTAAGTGATGGTAGCGTTGTTTTCGTGCTTAGAGGTGGATGAAGCTTTAATGGGAGCATGTGTCAAGGCCTGTAAGTGGTTGGCTTCTATGGCATTGGGTCTCTGAGACTTGGCTAGGGTCTTATTTTCACATCACTGGCCTTAAAGCTGTCTTAGTAGGGGAAAAAATGTCTGTCTTGGAAAAGAACTCTTTGGAAGAATTGTCCCTTCACAGATGTCGGTCACTTTTAAGGCCTTGAGGCCATGGCATATGGATCAAGTCATATATATAACTTGTCATTCAAATTGGGACTTTTAAAAAACAACTTTATTGAGATACAGTTTATACACCATAAGATTTACTCAATGTAAGTGTATTATTCAATGATTTTTAGCAAATGCGTCGAGTTGTGCAGCCATCATCACAATCCAGTTTAAGTAGGGGCACTTTTGAAAGTAAAAAGGGGACACTAATCAGGCCACAGGTGTAAGTGGAGCCTGTCCAAGGAAGATGGAATGGATCACCCCGCCTGTGGGAGGCTGATTTCCCAAAGCTTGTTAGTCTTTAGGGATGCTGGTCTCCTTTCATTCTGAACAAGAACGTATCAAAAGTTATTTCGTAACAAGAATATAGCATTTTGAATTGTAAAGTAGATGTTTGTTTTGTTTCATTTAATAAAAAATTTATGCACTTTGCTGCATAACACTTTCTGCTTCCTTTCTAACTCTGAAGCACAGGACTCTTCCTCACTGAGCCTTTTAGTCCCTGGGATTTTGTGACACTCCTGTGTCAGGTTCCTAAGCCTCAGGGGTTCCCTGTTGCCTATATGCAGCTCCTTTGCCTCGCCTTGAGACTGTCCCCAGTCTGACAGAATACAGCTAGCTCTCCTCTCTGTTTTTATATCCTTAAGATTTTGTTCAGATACGTCCCTCTGGCCACGTACCATTATGTTTGCATATCCAATTCTTTTCCTTCTTAGAGTTCCATATAAAATGACAGATTTCAGTGAAACTAGGACTTTTCCAACCTGGCTTATGATTATTTTAATGTTCTTATAAAAAATATTTCTCCTTAAAGGTAATGGGTACCAGTACATAAGAATTCTAGAAGAAATTACTTACATTGTAGATCATATTAGTTATGTTAATAATAACACCCACCTCATAGGAAAGATATGAGGATTGAGTTAATACATAAAAAATTTACTTGCTTAAAATAGTCTGACACAGAGTGCTTGATAACCGTTAGCTGTTAGTATTATAGTTTGCAAATGCTTGTCATCTTTTATCTTGTTCAACATGCTTTGAAACAGATACACTGAAATATAGCCTGTAACTATAAACAGTATTCCTTTCTTTTGTTATGTGGAAATATTTGGAGCTCAGTTCAACACATATATTAGGTTGAATATTGTGCTAGGAATTAGGGATACAAAGAAAAGGCCAACTCAATAAAAAAAATATTAAAAAATAAAAAATCTATTAAAAGAGAAAAGGCCAAGACATAGTTGTCTTATCCAAGTTGGAGTTTTGAACGGGAAAATGGGTGTCTGGAGGCAGACAGAATGAGGAATGGGAGGTCCAGCTCGTGCAAAAACACTGAGCCAGTATGTTTGGGAAACTACAAAGAATTACAGTACTGCTAGAGCAGAAGGATTGAGAGAGAGAAAGTCGGAGACTAGGCAGGGCCCAGGGCATAAAGATTCCTGTGAGGTAAGTACTGACGAGCCCTAAAGCTTTTTAAGGAGCAGAATAATGTGGTCATGTTTGCATTTTTTTTTAAAAAATCACTTAAATTTCCTGATTATAAAATTGATCATATTCCTTCTAGAAAATCTGGAGAGCACAGCAATACATTTGTATGTGTACATACATCCCAAAGTATGTAACGTTTACAGTAAACAAAGATAGATACTTGCAGGTGTATGTATTTTAAAGTATTTTTATCAAATAGAGCATTTCTTCATATCATTAAATATTCTTCAAAAATAGGTTATTTCCTCAAAAGTTTATACATAGAATTATACATAGAATACACATGACCCAGCAATCCCACTCCTAGCTGCATACTCATATGTCTACACAACGTCTCGTATGTGAATGTTCACAGCAGCATTATTCAGAATAGCCAAAAAGGGCAAACAACGCAAATGTCCATCAGCTGATGAGTGGATAAACAATACGTGGTATAGCCATACAATGGAATATTATTTGGCAATAAAAGTGAACGAGTTACTGATCTGTGCTACAAGATGGTTGAATCTTGAAAACATTATGCTAAATGAAGGAAGCCGGACTCCAAAGGCTGCGTATTGTATGATTCCATTTGTGTGAAAGATCCAGAAGAGGGAAGTCTCTCAAGATAGTAGATTAGTGTTGCCTAGGGCTGGGGAGGGTGGTAGAAGTGGGGGTGACTGCTGAGGGGCAAAGGGTTTCTTTTCTTGGGCGATGAAAATGTTCTGCAGCTGATTGTAGTGATGGTTACACAACTCTGTGAATGTACTGAAAACCACTGAAATGTATACTTTCAGTGGGTGAATTACAAAACATGTGAATTATAGCTCAATAAAGCTGTTACCAAAAAAAAAATTTAAGAAAATCTAAATAAAACAGGGAAATACTTTGCTTTCAGTCATGCGACCAGACGTGTAGGAGCTGAGACGCACACCCAGGCAGGCTGGCTCCAGGTCTGCCGTCTTCGCTGCTGCGCTGTGCTGGTTTCATCCCGGTCCACATTTCCTCAGGCTAAAGCTTCAGCATTGAAATTACAGAGTTAAAGGGTATGAATTCAGATTTGCATTTCTAGTCAAACATTTTGGTTGCTGCGAGGGAGCTTTTTGAAGGGTAAGGAGACCAGTTAGGGGGTTGTTGGCCGCACAGAGCAGTAATTTAGGAGAGAGGAGGGAGTCATTCAAGGGCTGAGAAGTCAGTAGCTGTCTTAGCTGCTTATAGCAACACTAAGAAGCTCCCTTCCCTGTCCTGAGGTTTCTCTTTTCTACCTCAGAGGCTCTTTCTCAGATTGACCGACACAACGTGCGGTGCTCTGAGCTCTGTCTCCTGAAAGCCTGTTTTCCTGAACTTCTTTCCATCTCAGAAGGAGAATGGACACAGCAACAAAGGTAAATCATCCAGATTAAATTTCTTAGTAGCAGCTTTGCTACCTCAAGTTCTAAGCAATGAGATGGAGAGAATTCCACAGACTTGGCAAACGCGGGCTTTAACAGTCTAAATATTTATGAAGTGCCTTGCAGTCATTTTTATCGCCATTCCTGGAGGCCCACTTTTCAGGGAGGCTGGTATTGTGAGCTTCGTTTTGCATGTGGGGTAACTAAGACGCAGAGAAGCACAGGGAATCCAAGCAGTATGCCCGAGGGAGGGAGCCGCCCAGCACAGTGAGAAGACACAGTGCAGCGTGGATGGGGAGTGAGTTACTTTGGTCTCTCCCACTTTTCCTTGAACTAGTCTAACAGGGTCTTATCCCGGTAGCCATATGGACTACCCATTTAAGAATTAAAGCATTTCCAGTTTTCACATTCAAAGGAGGAATCCAGTCTTCAGTTTTTAGCATAAAATGATGGCTTTCTACCATTAGTAATTTTTACCAAGAACTGTTAGTTCTTCAGAAAGGTGAGAAAAACTTTAGATAACATGAAACTGGTGGCCATGGTTGGGGTTCTTTGCCAGAGTTTTGTCTTTGATGCAACATTATGAAAACTACTTAAATTATTATGTTGGAAAAGGGTGTGTGATGCGCTACACGTCTTTGCTAGGTGTTAAGGGCAAAATCCTCAATTCCCAGCAGGTGGAGTTTTACTACATAAAATAGCACGATTGCCCTTCTCACAGCAGAATCACGGTAGAGAGGATTTCAAAACTTCCTGCCATTGTTTTTCTGTTTCCTTTTAGAGAGTTGAAGTTTTCTAAAGAAAAGAAGCATAAATGAATTATTTAGCTCTTTGCTTTCCGGGGAGCTGACAGATGAGCAGTGCTTCAGATTTGATACCCACGAGGGCCTCAGTAGCTTCAGATGAAAGAGTCTGCATGTTTGCTGTCGCCCTTTGTAGCCTTGGTGTCTCCAGCCCGGCAGCTTGAGACATGCTGCTGGTCCTGGGCCGCCCCTCCTGTAGCTCGGAGGGGCCCTTCATGGAGGAGCCGCAGGTCTCAGGAATCAGTCCCTGGGTCCACGCCTGAACACGGTGGGGTAGCAGGGTATATTTTTGGCCTCTTGGGGTCAACGTGGAACACTCAGAGGGTCACAGGCCACAGCCGTGAGCTCCCCGAGGTGGCTCTGCCCCCAGCATGGTTCCACCCGAGGACCAGGCCTCCCGGGTGTCTCTGTAGCGACTCAGGCCCGCTTCCCCTGGGTTAGTGCAGCTCCGGGCCTGGGCTGGGGGCCTGGGCCAGTTCCCTCGCCACAGTTCTTCAGTTGGGCTGGTCACTTGGGCCTTGCCCTGAAACTCCTGGAAACACTCCCTCGCCTCACTATTTCTGTTTCCCTTGCTGCCTAGCAAACCACCTCAGACTTAGTGGCATAAAACAACAATGTCCATTTCTTCTTCTTATCATTTGGGAGTTGTGGGCTCAGTTGGGCAGCCCTCCCTTGGGTGGCTCCCAGGTGTAGACGGAACCGGGTAGAGCCCTCTGCCAGGCTTCCTCACCCTCGTGCACAAGTCTGCTGGCTGAGGCCGGCTGTTGGCGGGGCTCTCGGCAGAGGCCCTGGGCTGGAACACCTGTGCCAGACTCTCCGTGTGGCCTGGCTTCCTCGGGGCCTGGTGGCTGGGTTCCCACCCAGGGTCAGTGTCCCCAGAGGGAACTGGTGGAAGCTGTGTCACCTTCTCTAACCCAGCCTCTGAAATACCTCAGTGTCATTTCTGCTGCATTCTCCTCGTGAGATGTGAGCTCCTACGGGCAGCCCACATTCGCAGGAAGGAGAGTTGTTACGTTCCACCTCTCTACGGGAAGGAGTGTCAAAGCCTTCGCAGTCATATTTTAAAACCACCACCCCACCTGCATCCTTTGGGTCCCAGAGAACTGCCTTAATTCTTGACTAAATCTGTTTAGTCCTTGTTCTGATTTGACCTTTGGACTCCTAAGCATTGGGGGTGGGAAAGTGGTGAGAGAATTCTAGATTCTTGAGTTTTTGCCAGCTCCTGTCACCCTAGCATACCCTGCAGTTTTTGAGGATAGCTTTTTTCTGGGAACTAGTTCTCTCTCTGGTAAGTGGCCCAATTTTGCAGGCAAAATAAACAAGGAGGGGAGTGCAAATAGAAGAGTCTGTATTTTCCTACAGCTCCTTCATTTGGTATTTCAGCAAGGAGACCAAGGTTTTCAAGCTTTCTTTGGGTTCGATTTTAATGAGTTTTCTGAGATAGCCAAGCTGAATGTCTGTGGAATTGAGTCTGGCAGGCACAGTGTGTGTCTGTGGCGGAATAAACCCCCAAATGTAGTATTGCCGTGGAGATCTGAGATTAGCACCACAGGGCACTTGGAACAGAGGCTTGGGCCCAGGCATGGTGTCACGATAGCTCGTTGTCATCAGTTTGTCCCTTCCTCCCTTAGCTAAGGCCATGATGACCACAAGGCACAGACAAGCCTCCAATTTAATTTAATTTCAGAGCCAGGTGTTGTTTCTTAATCTGAATGATTGGGTAATATCATTATGTGTCTTAATAGGAAGGGGCAGCTTTCATAAATAGAGAAATGAGATTTCCATAAGCTTTTCTTTTTTTTTTTAATGAGAGTACTGGGAATCGAACCCAGGACCTTATGGGTACTAAGCACGTGCTTTACCAATGAGCTATACTCGCCTCACCCACCCTCCATAAACTTTTGAAGAAGGCAAGAAAAGTGAGTGCTTGGAGTGGAAAAGTCTCTTAAAAGAAATTATATTAAAAATGGTGTTTAGAATAAAAACTTAGATTGGCATTATAGCATATTGAATTGTTATTTTCACCTAGCCTTCTAAAAAGGATATAGAAATAATATCTTTTAGCATTTCTGGTATTAATTGATTTGGCCCCTTCAGAAAATGGGCACCTGATTCTTTTTCTTTTTTTTTTAAGTATTTTTATTTTATTT